GGCAGTTGTGCAACGGAATCGCTTTGTTGCGCAACTTGTTTGATAGTGTATGGACCGCTGAATCAGTTGTGCAACGCAACGTTGCGCATCGCTTCGTTGCGCAATTTGTTTGATAATATATGGGCCGCTTAAAGCAGAAAACAGAAAAGATGCTGGATGCAACAGAATTTGACTTCTGTAGACGATCAGCCGGAAAATCAAGGATGGAAAAAATTACAAACGAAAGGATCAGGGAAATTATAGGCGTCAAACATTCTATTGTAGAAGATATAAAAGTGAATCAACTTAAATGGTACGGGCACGTCCAAAGAATGACCATCAATAGACTGCCAAAACAAATTCTAAATTGGACACCCACTGGAAGGTGCAAAAGGGGAAGGCCAAGAAAAAGCTGGAGAGAGGGAATAGATCGAGAAGTAGAAGACAGAGAGTAGGCAACAATGGAGACTAGAAATCCAGTTATAAATATAATCCAATATTTCCAGTGTTGTGTTATTTATTAGAATGTCTTTTCTGTCTACTAGTTCGTTGTACAGGGTGGGTCAAATTCGACGCTTTTAAATGGACCCCCTTTTCTATAGGAGACAAAAACTAATATCGGTGTCTGGTGCTCAATTTTTGTCAAAAACATGATGGTGAAAACCGTATATCGATATCTGTTATCGTTTCGGAGTTACGTGGTGTTTTTCAAAAATATGCATTTTTAACAAATCGCTGAACTTTTTTGCTATGGAAAATTTTGTATTTTTATGAAAACATTTCCAAAGCAGTTTTTTTATGTAGAATTTAATTGTTTAAGTATAATTCTTTTAAAATTTATAATTTAAGAAATATCAACAGAAAATTTGATTTTTTATACGGGACAGCCAGTATATTTTTAATTTATTGAAAAGAATTTAAAATTACCTTTCCAAAAATATAACACACTTGATATTTTGCTCGATTCCTCTTCGAGATATAGAGTATATAAAAATTCGCCCGCTTTAAATAAGTAGGCTCTGAACGGCACCGGAATGCAAAAAAATTCTAGCTGTGAGCATCAATTAAAACGAAAATAATATTTGCTATGAGAGATGGAGAATTTAATAACAATTTAAAATATATTTAACCAACAACAACACATTTAAACTACATACAGGGTCCGGCAATAGTGCGTCGGGCATCTGTAGCTCCTAGAATAAAAAACTTGAGAATTTTGTTTAAGTGCAAACCTAAAGTATGTACCAGTATGTATTTCAGGAAGATATTTTAACTTCTATAGGGTGGCTCAAAAAAGTGTGAGTGGACCTGGATGATATTTTTTAAATGGAACACCCTGTATATTATTGCATTTTTGGATTCCTTTCAGATCACTTTACAAAACCCTAAGATATGAATAAATATATTTCGATAGTTTCAGAGATATTAAAAAATAAATCAAAAATATATATTTTTCAGCCCTTCTTAAAAAAATTATTAAAAATACAGGAACTGTTCTGAAATCAAAAGTATATTAGGTATTTACTTTAGATGGTCTGTTCTTACTTTGCTATAAATATGGTAATCGTAAATCATACAGGATGCTCAATATTCTACGCCAAACTTTCTAAAATATAAAATATTTTTTCTTTGTTTTTTTAAATGGAACACCCTATATATTACTTTTTTATTAGATCGAGAGTTAAAAAATGAACATTTTTTGTATTTAGAATATTTAAAATTTTTTAATGGTTTCGCAGATACACGCAGTATTATTTCATATGGCGCTGTCAATGGTAAAATACGAGAGAAAAATTATTGGGTGGCTTTGATAAAAATTTACTGTGGAAAATGCCATATGAAATATAAAACTGCAAATATCTGCGAAATCGTTAAAATTTTTGAAATGCTCTAAATACAAAAAAAATGTTCATTTTTTAATTCTCCGTCTATTGAAAAAATTATATACAGGGTGTTCCATTTAAAAAAACGAAGAAAAATTATTTTATATTTTAGAAAGTTTGGCGTAGAATTTTAAACATCCTGTATGATTCACGATTTTCATATTTATAGCAAAGTAAGAACAGACCATCTAAAGTAAATACCTAATATACTTTTGATTTCAGAACAGTTCCTGTATTTTTAATAATTTTTTTAAGAAGGGCTGAAAAATATATATTTTTGATTTATTTTTTAATATATCTGAAACTGTCGAAATATATTTATTCATATCTTAAGGTTATGCAAAGTAATCTGAAAGGAAGCCAAAAATGCAATAATATACAGGGTGTTCCATTTTAAAAAATCATCCAGGTCCACTCACACTTTTTTGAGCCACCCTATAGAAGTTAAAATATTTTCCTGAAATACATCCTGGTACATACTTTAGGTTTGCACTTAAACCAAATTCTCAAGTTTTTTATTCTAGGAGCTACAGATGCCCGACGCACTATTGCCGGACCCTGTATATCTGATAACAATAAAAACAAATAGCAAACCAAGACATAAGATTTTGCTACAGGTGTTCGACAGATCGACCGTCTTCTGTTATGGACAGACGGGGCGGTTTTTGAACATTTCTTGCAGAATTCATTAACTCAGTAGGGGTGAAAGATACCCTCTCATAACTGCTAAGTATTTCTAATTCTTGTCTAGATTATACGGAAGAATAAAGAACCTTTATTCTTCCGCAAATATATCCATAGGATTAGATTCTATGGATTAGATCCATGGGCACTAAGTCAGGCGGGCTCGACGGCCAACGGCTGGGATCTGTGGCTGGGATCTTGGTTAGCTATTCAATTATACTTGAAATTGACGTGGTGCGTCGTCTTGCTGGAAAAATATGTTTTCGAGTTTCATTAAGTTCAAAGCCTACTAGTTAAAAGTTAAAAGTGGCGAACTTTTAAAAATTCTGTATTTCGAAGGGGATTATAACAAAATATCAAATGTGCTATATTTTTGGAAAGGTAATTTTAAATTCCTTTCAGTTAATTAAAAATATAGAGGGTGTCCCAAATAAAAAATCAATTTTTCTGTTGATAACTCTTAATTATTAATTTTAAAAAAATTATACTTAAACCATTAAATACTACATAAAAAGGTGCTTTGGAAATGTTTTCATAGAAGTACAAAATTTTCCATAGCAACAAAGTTACAGCGATTTGTTAAAAATGGACATTTTTGAAAAACACCCCGTAACTCCGAAACGGTAACAGATATTGATGTGCGGGTTTCGCCATCATGTTTTTGATGAAAATTGAACTCCAGACACCGATATTAGTTTTCGTCGATCTCCAATAGAAAAGGGTGTTTCCATTTAAAAGCGTCGAATTTGACCCATCCTTTGGTTTTGGCTAAATTCATTTTGAAACCTACTGTAATGCTGGCTGTATTTAGTTTGTTAATTTGTGCTTGGCAATTAAGACTATCATTAGCGAATCGTAGATAGTTAAGATATTCTCCATCTGTTTTTATGTTTATGTATATGTATTTTCTCGCAATACTATGTAAAAGTCCTATTTCAGTACCATAAAAGTACATTAAATGTTATATATCTCCTGTAAAATTTAGGCGTTTTGAACCATTATTAATATATTTTTTAACGCTAAATACCAACATTTAACATTTCAGATCAATCTCAATATATTTACAATATATTTACAATATATTTACAATATATTGTGATATTTTTCTTTCAAGAATATAAAATTCTGTATACGACCAGTATAACTTGAGTTTTTTTACTAATTACTAAAAGTAAATACTAATTACTTTATTATTACTACTAAAAGTAATTACTAATTGCTTTTAAACAGTATTTTATTCTCTTTTAATTAAAAACTACGTATTTTGGTTAATTTAGAAATACCCTGTTGTTATTTGGTATTGCCAAAAATTATTTTACGTTTTTACGTATACAATTATCGTACCGTCAAGTCAGTACCACAGTGTAAAAACTGCAAATAAGGCAGATCGTGTAGAGATGACACTTTTAGCAAACTCATCTCAATTTAATGTTGAGAGACCACCCACATCTGCAGCGTAATTATCTGAAGAAACCAGCAAATCTTATTAGCTACCGTTCATTTTTCCGTATTTACTCTGTAAATGTAGCATAACGGTACGACCCTGAACGGTGGTGCACGCCTATGGACGATTTACATTAATAATTATAATTTATGATTTATTTCTTGGAATATTTTTTGATTTGTTGTAGTTTTTAGGAGAAATGGATTGATATACAAAATAAGTATAGTCTCTCCAACGAATAAAGGAATATTTTGACATCCGACATTAAAGAGATGTCAGAAAATACAATTTAACTGTGAATTATCCTTTCGCTGAACAGGCTATAGTTACATTGTATGTTCTAATGAGTTTTTACTGCTATTAGCAATGCTTGACATCTTCAAATTAGTGAAAAAACTAAGGTAAATTATATTTCAAAGCTTGAAAATTGACAGAAACGATTTTCCCATAAAAGGACAACCTCAATCTAGGTGGTCTTTTTTGTGTAGTTTTTAAAAGGCCTCGAATAGGCTTTGATTTTTATTTTTTATTAAAAATTTACAGTTTTTTTACTTATTATCTTTCTTAAATCCATTTTTGATGTTTTGCCTAAGATCTTGTGAAAAGTAACTGTCTTTGACATCGTTTTTTTTTCGACCATACAGGGAATATAGTTATTAAATTAAAACCATGCATAGGCAACTAGGCAATCAGGAATACTGCATACCAATATCCCAATATTTTGTGTAGGAATAAATAAAATAGTTCAGAAACAGATTTACAGAGAGATTTATAAGTAACATAGTCGTATAAAAGTATGTACATAATTTTTCTTAATAAATTTTTAAAGTTTAAACGAGTTAAAATAACAATTACTTTAATTTTTAGTATTTAGTATTTCGACGATACGAAACTTAATTTTTTAAACACTCTGCCGCTGTAGAACCCTGTAATTTTCTGTCATTTGTCATTACTGTCTACTTCACCTACTGTCAATGTCAATTGTATTATTGAAATTTGAGCTCCATCTTGTCTGGTCGTATTTGAGCAAATGGTAAATTTGTTTAATTAGAAATTGAAACACAGTGATAGTTCTTGAGAAAATGAATTCTTTGATGAATTATGGAAGTGATGACAACAGTGACGATTCCGGAGATGATAGAATACCGGTAATTTTATACAAATTGTATAATATCGTAGTGCATACACTCTACCACCCCAGAGTGTATTGATTTTGCATTTTACATAACATTTATTTACTTGAAATTGTATTATTTATTATGGATTGTTTAGTTTTCATGAATGTCACTAAAAATACCTTAGTTACTGTGTGAGACATTTAATTATTGATAAATTTTCACGGGAGATTACAGAGTTTCACAAATAAAGGAAAAAACTCGACAAAAATTATACAATATTTTTTGTACAATTTAAATATGAAAGAATACTATTAAAATTTGCATTTTTTAGGAAATGCCTGGATTAGAGAGAAATGCCCCAACAAAAAATTACAGAAAATCCGGAAGCCAGGAAGAAGACAATTATGATGAAGTGGGGATGGACATGAGCGAGGTAATTCTTAGTTTAGTAATAAATATAATTTGTTTTATAGTTGAGAACGTATTAGTAATTTTTACATCTTTAAAAAACGTTTGAAACGCTTGAATCACAATATATTTACTATCATAAGTCGATAAAATGTTTTGGTTAATTTTATGTGTAAGTAGTAAGTATATTGTGAACCAAGTTCTAAACTGTATTTTATACCCCTGAAATCATAGAGCCTGTTTGGTTCAATTTGCCTAAAAATACCTCTTTTTTAATAAAAAAAAATATATGCTTTACAATTTTTTTAAAATGTGGGAAAGAAAATATTGATATTAACATTATCTGTTAATTATATTTAAAAGAGTTAAGACCTTGTATCACGAGCTGTGTCTGTCTCATCAATGACTCAAGATGATCCAACGAGAAACGACCAATACCCGGTGAGTATTTTTAGGGTTTTTAATCTAAATGGTGAATGTTTGTTAAAAAAAAAAGAAAAAAGAAACACAGGTAACTGAATTTTTTTTTGTATTAAAATTAATAAATTAGAAATACAGGGTGGTCTGAACTGTATTCCGGAAACTTCAGCATTCTGCAAATAAAAATAAGTAAAAAAGTTTGTATAAATGTTTGTATGTCCTAAAATTCTTAGTTTCGGAGATACAGGGTGTAGAAGTTTTATTTTTATTTCGATTTTTTTCAAATAATTTCTGAAGTATCGTCAATATTTGGATAAAAATTGGTGCCTGGGAGTTTTTTGACATGAGAAATTTGATTTTGGTGTAAATATGACTCCTATTTGTTGGGGGCGTCACCTAGATATGTTTTAACTATTTTTAAGAGTAATCACTTTTCGTCCGTACCTGTATGAGACTACTGAATAAAAAAATATCCATTTCCGTGAATTTTTACGTAAAAAATGCCCCTTGGTAAAAATGCTATGAGTAACCGTTCTTAAGATATTTAGAACGGAAATAGTCATACAATACATGTCATTATTGACAGAAAAATAAACACGTTGAGTAGATAGTTATTTGACTGAAATAATATATTTTTATTTTTTTAAATTAATCATAAATTTTTCTGCGAAAAAATTATGATAAAACGTTTGGGACAAAAACATTTCAAATTTATGATTTCAGTCTAATAATTATTTAGTCAACATGTTTGATTTATGTGAATGATGACAGGTATTGATAATTTCAATTTCAAATACAGTGGTGGCCAAAAGTATGGAAACTTTTTTAATTTTTCATTTATGCTGAGAAATTAAAATATGAAATAAAACGACTTATATAATCGTGACCTACAAATAATTTCCTACAAAACCTAATACATTTAAATAAAAAATTACAGCTATCAAAAAATATATAAAAAATTATGAATATTTTCTTGGTCAAAAGTATGGAAACTTAAAAAGAATGTTTATTAAAATTCAAAATAATATAAAAATTACTAATATTTAGTGGAATATCCCATTGAATTAATTACTTCTCTACATCTTCGTGGCATCGAATCGATCAATCGCACAGTTTTTACTGGAAATGGCCGCCCATTCAGTTCCCATAATTCATTTTTATTTGAAATACAATGGCTTCGAATTTTGCTATCCAAATGGTCCCATAAATTTTCTATGGGGTTAAGATCCGGAGACTGTGAGGGCCAATCCATTAGTGGAACATTATGTTCATTTAACCAATTTTGAACAAACCGAGATTTGTGCTTGGGATCATTGTCTTGCTGGAACAACCATCTGAGTGGCATTTCTTCATCAGCATGAGGCAGCATATTATTCTCCAATATGTCTTTGTACAAAAACGGTCCATTATCCCATCAATTTTAACAAGAGGACCAACACCTGAGCGAGAAAAAACACCCTCATACCATTATACTCCCACCTGTTTTACTGTGGGCATCTGGTACTTATGGCTGTACCGTGTACCTTTTGGTCTTCGGACATAACGTCTCCCGTCACTACCAAACAGTTGAAACTTGCTTTCGTCGCTAAACAGTACAGTATTCCATTTCTGATAAGACCAGGTGAGATGATCTTGAGCAAATTTAAAGCGGGCCATCCTATTTTTCTTTGATATTAGTGGTTTCTTCACCGCAACTCTTCCAAAAAGTCCCATGTCATCCAACCTTGTTCTCACTGTGCGTGCAGACACCGATATTCCCCTGTCACCCATTTCTCGAGAAATGTCTGTGGATGTTTTTCTTGGATCTCCCATTGATATTCTCTTCATTACTTTCATTGTCCTTTTACACAACTTTGTTGGTCATCCTGACTTAAAAGCTGTTGAAACGTTCCCTGTTTTATTAAATTTACGAATTATTTTCGAAACGGTGCCTTTTAAAGTGTTTAAATTTTTACTTATTTAAATTTGTTTATAACCGCTCTTGTATAATTGAACTATTTTATTTTTTAAATCCATAGAGAAATATTTAGACTTGGGCATGATGTTTATATTTATCTGAAGCAAATCGTACCGTTTATCAGCTTGAACTAAATAATTTTAATGTATTTATTTATGGTTTCCATACTTTTGGCCACAAGAAATCTATTGTTCTCCTACAAAAACTGCTAAACAGATTTTTTTCGCTGTGTAATTTTTGGAATACTTTTATTTGCTGATAAGCTGTTCATTTATATTCCTGAGAGTTTAAGCATAGCAATATTTTCTGAGATATTTTAAAAAGTAAAAAGTTTCCATACTTTTGGCCACCACTGTATCTCGAGAACCGTTACTTCTAGAGATTTTTACCAAGAGATCTTTTTTACGTAAAAAACGTCGTAAATGTATATTTTTTTATTCAGTAGTTTTATATAAGTACGGACGAATAATTATTACGCTTCAAACCATTAAAAAATATGTAGGTGGCGCCCTCTACAAGTAGGAGTCATGTTGACATTAAAATCAAATCTCTCATGTCAAAAAACTGCTACTAGACACCAATTTTCATTCAAATATTGACGTATATAAATTATTTGGAAAAAATCAAGATAAAAATTAAACTCCTACACCCTGTATCTCCGAAACTAAGAATTTTGGGACATACATTTATATAAACTTTTTTACTTATTTTTATCTGCAGAATATGTTATAAGTTTTCGGAATACAGTTCGGACCACCCTGTAAATACAGATTTTTAATAAATTTTGTCTGTTTACATTAAAAGACTTGCTTGATAATAGAAATTTATGATTATATTCTGGTAAATTACTGAATTTTTTCATGTACAGAGTTTTTTTTATACATATCTCATTATTTTTTGAGTAATTTAAATAAAATTTCAATGTATTTTATGTACGGTATTCTGTCATATTAAAAATGTACTAAATATCGTACAAAATTTTTAGGTAACGTCCATTGAAAAACATGAAAATCGAAAGTAAAGGTTTTTCAAATCGCTCGAACTCTTACTTGAAATATATAATTCTAACGTTATTCTTTCATAATGAAAAATGTACTAAATATTGTTCAATTTTTTTTAAAGTAACATCCCTTTTTTGTGTTAATTGTGATCTCGAATCAGTCATTTTTCGTGAAATTGTTATTTACTTCAAAATAATGTTAATCTATAAGGTTTATTTTTTTAAATTCCGTTTAATGATGATTTTGTGTAAAAAAAACTCTGCAGAATAGTCTAAATAAATTTTATATTTATTTTTTCAATATCCTCCATTATATGCCTTAATATTAGTATTTCTTTCACATAACTAAATTTTTATCTTTTCATAAACGTTATTATAATATAATAAAAATGTATATTTACATAATATATTTAGAAAACATATTAACATGTTTATTTTGCTCTTACGTTTTACTAGAGCCCCAAAAAAACGCTAAACAAAAAAAAACTAGAGTGGACCAGGGTTAAGATGACCCGTTTTCTCCACAGGACTCGAACGATTCGTCGGAACAGCATAAAAAACAAATAGAGGAAACATCGCACAAAGACAAAGGCAAACAAAGTAGACAGAGTGCAGATAGACGAAGCAGTCGAAGCCCAAATAGTCGAAAAAACGATGAAGATACAAGAAACAGACGCTCTGAAGATAGACACGGTAAATCTGACAGAGAAAAATCGGATAGAGGTCGCGATAGAGACTCTAGAGACGAAGATAGAGCACGGGATAGACGTAATAGAGACGATAGAAGGGATTACAGACGCGAAGAAAGGTTTGTTATTAATCTATGGTGCGAACGACAATGATTGAAAAAGTTTGGCGATACTCTGTTTCATTCATTGTTGGTCGAACCGTACTATATCCTCGATCTTGGTACAATATTTTCTCTATATTTTAAGATCGAGTAGAGACGACAGATACAACCGCGATAGACGCAGCGACAGAGACAGAGAAAGAAAGAGAAGCAGGAGTAGAGATAGAAGAAGATCCAGATCCCCACCGAGGCGCTCTAGATCCGGATCCAGAGGACCGTCTAAAGGTTTTAGAAGGGACAGGGCTAGCCACAGAATGGATAGATTGGATAAATTAGGTCAATTTCTTTTATGATACTTACTAGACACATGGTATATAACATATTCTATTTTTTTATAGGGATTCCGTTTAAACCTGACACTTATCCCTCTTCGGCCCTACAAGGGAACAGCGAGGGCAATTCGGGAGATAGGTTTTTCATGCCGGGAATAACCGGTAAGGAAATTGAACTAAATAGAGGTTGATAGGTTACTATGACGCTCTTTTTTTAGGTCGTTTCAGAGATCAGATTGAGAAGAGGAAACAGCTGTGGCAAAAAGGAAAAGACGAGCCTGTTGTTCCTGTGAATATTCCTGGACCTAGTAATAATGGAAGTAATATTAATATGGCTGGTAGTAAGGCTGCAAAAGTATACGAAGCGACTACCTTTGCTGATGGTAAGAAAGAATATTTTGGTTATGTATTTAATTACAGTGTTGCCAGATGAAATTTTCATGAATTCTCTAGGTTTTTGTTGCAAAATTTACTATAATTTCCTCAAACTTTCCTATTTTCGGGGTAATCGATGCCATATTGTCGATAATATCGTCAGTTTGAACAAAATTTCGGGGGTTTTAGTTAAAAAACTTTTGTTTATATTTCAGCATTACATTAGAAGCAATTCAAAAATAAACTAGTAAAGAATTATTATTAATAAATGTTCTTTAAATGTTTTCTTTTTGTGACTATACTAACTATGTGTAAAAATATATCCTCGTTTTTCCTTCATGTGGTTCACAACCTTGTTTTCCCCTAGATTTAAGGAATTTTCCTTAGATCTGGCCAACTACGAATTTAATATACAGTCCGTTTAGCTAAAAATGATTTTTGTAAAAAAAAATTATTTTTAATTATATTTTTTAATATTTCTTTGTTAAATTCTTTTTTATATAATCTATATTTCTTATTATATTTTCTTCTTTTATTTTGGCATACATTATGTATATTAGGGTGAGCCAAAAAAAAAACTAACCTATGTAATTTATGGGTTAAAATGAACCTAATAACAGAGAAAAAAATATCCCCGGAAGGCAGGATTTTAGCTCAATTTAAAAAAGTGTCGGTGAACATTCAAAATTTTCCATTTAAATAACACGTAAAAAATGTTTTTTTATTAAAAGTACCATAACTTTGAAACGGTTTACGATAAAAAAAATTACATCGCGGATTCTTGTAGAGCATAAAATTTCCTAAAAAATCTGAGAGTAATTTTTTTCAATTCAATAATTCGTATACCGTGCTGGCAACTGTTACTTTTGGGTCGGCATTTACATGTGTGGAAGTAAATCGCATAGGGATCTTATTAAGTCGGAGTGAGGGAAATCGATAGAAATCGAAGAAAAAATCGATAAGGTTGTTTTTCCATTCAGAAATTGTAAACAATCCATCCATTTACTTTTAGAGCATAGCAATTTTCAGCAATCGTGTAATTTTTTTATTGATAAAGATTTTCATATACTGTCTACAAAGATAATACAGCAGAAATATTAACAAAGTTCTTGAAAAAACTACAATCTATTATTTCTAATAGATTTCGAGATATCGATTTTTGAATTCAGAGTTCTAATAGCGCGACCACTATCGAACACCCACTCAATTCCACTTATTTCTGCCAGAAATGCAAGTGTTTCTAGCTTGCACTTAAAAAAATTCAAGCTATAGGGAAAATTACAACGACTCGTTAATAAATAAACAAATTAAGTATCACGAGACGTAATTAAATCGTGAAGCTGAACGCATGACGTACACCTTTTCCTAGAACTTTAAGTACCGACACAGGTATTGATTAGGTCGACCGGTCAACTGCGACAAATCTGCTATATCCCCTTCCACGTCTCTTAGCGATGTGCACAGTTTCTCGGTTTATTTCATACGTTTGGCAACGTGTTTACTGTCCTCTCTTTGTTCAGTACATTATAGACTCTATTGTACTCTTCTTACATACGGAAATCTCGACCCAAGACTAACCTTTGCCAGCCCTTAGTATTTATAACTAAATATAACTAAATAAATAATATAACTAAATAAAATACTCTCAGATAGTTTTTTAGTAAATTTTATGCTCTACAGGAATCCGCGATGTAATTTTTTTTATCGTAAACCGTTTCAAAGTTTTGTCACTTTTAATAGAAAAAGATTTTTTACGTGTTATTTATGGAAAACTTTGAATGTTCACCAACACTTTTTAAAATTTAGCTAAAAATCCTGCTTTCCGAGGATATTTTTCTCGATTATTAGGTTCATTTTAACACACAATTCCATAGGTTAGTTTTTTTGGCTCACCCTAATGTATATTACTGTTTTAATCCTATGAAGCTATCTACACATTATTTGTCATTATTGTTTTCGCAAATTTTAAGAAGACTATATTATTTCCTTGTATAGTCTTCTTAACTGCGAAGTTGTTTAATAATTTTTTCCATTGTCAGATAAGACTTCCAGCAAATTTAAACGGCTTATGGGTATACGGGAGACGGGTGGCCCAAATAATTTACCGACAAAAAGTAGCGAAGTGCTAAAAAAGCAGGAAGAAATGTTCAGTTCCATGGAGGCGCAGTACGAAGTTGCGAGAACGGCTACACATACTATGAGGGGTGTCGGTTTGGGATTTGGGAGTTTTCAGAGATAATCGACGGTTTTTTTTTAATTTTTTCAAGTGAGAAATATTAGGTTATTCTATTCGCGAATTGAAAATTATGTTGGAAAGTTTTTTTTTGGTTAAATATTTTTTTTAAAGTGTATGTTTAGATGTAATAAAGGCTTGTTTATGCATAAATAATATGGCTTTTAAAGTTTTTTTTTTCATTAATATCTGTGAAGAAAGAGGTTATGTTACTAAGCACAAGAAAATTTCATTTGTGTAGTTACATTACGTTCATAATGGTTGAAATATTAATAAAGTATTTTTTTTTGATGATGGTTTCATCTGTGTTTTTTTGTGTGATATGTATTAGTACGAGAGCTAGCAACGTTTTCGAGAAAGTATTTTAAGACGTCTGGCTCTTTGATATACAGTGGTGGCCAAAAGTATGGAAATTTTTTACTTTTTAAAATATCACAGAAAATATTGCTATGCTTAAACTCTCAGGAATATAAATGAACAGCTTATCAGCAAATAAAAGTATTCCAAAAATTAAATTTTTATAGTAAAAAATATAAATGATGAGCTTTTCAGCAAATAAAAGACATGAAAAATTATGATCATGATTCTTAAGCTAATAGCTGTTTTTAGCGGAGGAAAGAAAATTAAAGTCTTCTTTTTTGGCCAAAAGTATGAAAACACGCACTAAATCGTCGGAAAATGTCTTTTATACTCCTTTTACAAACTTAGAAATTTTTGAAGTGATGGAATTCAGAAAAAAATAAAAACATGCCCAAGTCTAAAATCTTCTGGGACTACGGATTTATAATAATCTTTATGTTTATTTCTGGCAAGGATGTATTTTTAATGAAAAATATTTTCTACTAAACTTTTTAAACTAATTTTAAAAATATAAGTTAGTTAAAACAGAAGATTTTAGAAAAAACAATCAGTTTTATTTTTTTCATATTATTCCACCACTTCAAAAAATTCCTGACAGGCCAATGAAAGTAATGGATGGTCAATATTGGATGTGGATACGTCCGATTTTTTAGTCCGATATCAGACTATTTCTCGACGAAATGGGTGGTTATAGTGATTGCGATTTGTTGCATGCGTAAACTTTGGTTTTAACATTTTCGTATAGGTATATTCGAAAACAAGAAAAATAGCCTATGTACAGGGTGAGTCAACGATAGAGTAAAGTCCATTATCTCATTTGTTTCGAGGTTTACAAAAAAATATTAAATATAAAAGTTATAGAGATGGTTAAGATACACATTTTAAAAATTATTATACAGTATACAGGGTGCTTCAAAAAAAGTGTGGCGAATATTACATATGTTCTGCGTAAAATTCCATTACTTTTTATATATAATGTTATATACCTAAAATTAATAGTTTTTGTTATATTTAAATTTGTTTAAACAAATGTTAGATTGCAGTGGGTTAAAAGATTGTCAATGATGGCATTGATTCTGAAGTTGGACAACTAAAATTTCGTAGGAGAATTTTATAGAGATATAGAAAAGACCTATGTAAAGAAAATAGGATGTTAGATGTTACAGGGTGTTCAAGATATATTTAGGAACCTGGTCTAATTAGAAATGGAAGGAATTTCAATTTTTTAAATGGTACGAAAGCTATATATTATCTTTTTGATAGATTTGACGAGAGACTCTTTACTTTTGTTAAGAATGTCATATACTTAAATTAGTTTGCGATTAATTCCTATTTTTTCTATTTTTACCCAAATTTTTAATACAGTATAACATCATAGTTGCCATGGGAGTATAATAATTATGACAATTTTTGTCTGCTAAGCAAGTTTGAACAAAATTGAATTTTAGTTTAATTTTTTGTAATAAGTATATTGGTAGAGATAACATGATTTTCATGAAATGAATTAGCCAATGTGAATGATGTACACGGACAATGATCTTAAGCACCAAATCTTTTTGTTCAGTACTATTTATTATATAGTAATGTTCCACTAATGGATTGGCCCTCACAGTCTCCGGATCTTAACCCCATAGAAAATTTCATGGGCCATTTGGATAGCAAAATTGAAGTCATCTTTTTCAATATAAAAATACACCAAGAAATTCAAAACTGAATGGGCGTTTATTTGAGTAAATAATTAATTTTAACTAATACCAGCAATTGTAACTAATTATGAAGCTAATTAATTAAAAGGTAAGTAATATAATAGTTTTCATTTTGTCATGGCAACTATGATTTTATAATAATTGTATTAAAAATATGGGTAAAAATAGAGAAAATAGGAATAAATTGCAAACTATTAAAAATAGGGATATGACATGTAATTTTTTAAAAGTTGAAGAGTTTTGTAGGAAATCTATCAGAAAAAATCATAATTATAGGGTGTCCTATTTAAAAAATTTGAGATTTTTTTAATTTTAAGCATAGTTGACAAATTCATAAATATACTTTTGAACACCACTGTATCATTTAACTAAAATATCTATCAGCAAATTTTGGTACGTCCACCTTCGGTAAACAATGGCACCACTGACAATTTTTTACCACACTGCAATTTAACATTTGTTTAAATAAATTGAAATATTACAAAAACTAATAATTTTAGGTATATAATGTTATAGCCGCCACACTTTTTGAAGTACCTTGTATACTCTATAATAATTTTAAAATGTGTATCTTAACCATCCCTATAACTTTTATATTAAACATTTTTTTGTAAACCTTGAAACAAATGAGATAATGGACTTTACTCTATCGTTGACTCACCCTGTACATTCTCGCATAAACACCCTGTATATAGGTATTATGTTTTTTGTCTAAGAGTGAATAATGTTAAATAATGTTTTTTGTTGAAGTTAATAATTGTGTATCCTACTTACGAACCGAAAATTCTTATTTGCTTAATTGTTTCAGGACTATTTCTTTTTTTTATACATCTTCCCAATATTTTTTGACTATAAAGTATTATGATATTTGTTCTTGTTTGATCCCACAAGGCTTTTTTGACTCAACTATCACAAAATTAATTTTTCTAGGTCCATTTTAAATGGATATTTTAAATTAAAAATTTAAATTATCTTCTTTAGGTCGCACGATGTCGCAGAGAATGGGTATATTATCGTGTATTCGGTCGATATCGTAGAGCATAACATCCGATATAAAGGAGCCAGGTAATGTAACCACAATCTTAAATTAATAAGTTTGTTTGAACTTAAAAGTATGTTGATATAAATAAATTTTTTTTTGAAAATCTCAAAACAGATCATTTAAGTTAAAAAGCTAAATATTTATGAAAGTAATGATTGCATTTTCGAAATTAAAAAATAACTTAAAAGTTGCATTAATGTGTAGTTAACTTAAAGAACCAAGATCTTTAAATTAAAGGTCACTATATCTAACTAATTTTTAATATAATCTAAAGATAAAAGTCTTGATATACAATTCTTTGATTTTTAATTTTTTTTTCGATCATACTGTATCATACACATGAAGATTGTTACAAATGAACAATTCAAGATAAGTTAACCCAAGGGATGTAACCACCTAATATTTTGTACGATATTTAGTACATTTTTTTAATACGAAAAATTAAAATAACTTTTTTAATAAAAACAAACAGCCAGGATTGGATGATAATATATTTATATTATATACAGATTTTTTTGGTAACAATATATTTACAAATTATTATATAACACAATAAATATATTCAAGCAGCTTCAAACTGTATCTGGTGGAGATGCTGTACCACCTTCTGGTTTACTTTCTAAGGAAAATGGCGGAATTCTGCAGTCAAACGTGTATCCATCTTCTCGTTCCATTCGAAATGTACCCCTTTAAAAACAAAAATATATATAGTTTTTTGTAATATTTTTGACCGATAATTTTTTTACCACATATGACCACTGGGAGCTTGTAAACTAACGTGACTGCTGTACTGGAAAGCTGGCAACGTTTTTGTTAAAGCCGGTTCTTGGCCTACTACACCTCTACCTAGAATTATTTAAATTTAGTTAATTTAAAAAAAATATTCTCCAGTTTTTTTATTTACCTCTAACTGTTTCCAATGTACCAGAAAGTGAAAATATTCTCCAGTGTCTTTCTCTCAATTGAACACTCAGATTTCCTAAATTTTCTAGCCTAATACAGTACCTCCACTTGAAAAAAAAAAAGAACATAACTTAATCATATTTTAAGTGTTAATATTAATCTATCATCGACTTTAATAGTTTTATTTTTTGTTGAATTCTATACTTACCCAATACACTGAATTGGCATGACTCTCTCTACAGCCCATATAGAACGGTATTACAGTCACCCTAATATTCTCTGTAGTTTCTTTGTGGACATCTGACAGCTCCAACCACGGATGGTTCTTATTTTGCCACGCCTTCAAGGTGTCTTGAGCTATAAACGGTGGATCTAAAAATCACTTAAATGTCATGTATATTCCTCTATTTTTATTATTCATCTTAATATAACCTCCGTTAGTATTGGGTGCTAAAAACTTATCAAATAGTTCGTGATGCAGTGGGGTCTTCTCTGCACTGACATATGGTATGATGTCTTCGTGAGCCACATAATCTAGCCCTGGTATGGCATAGAGACTTCTGGAAGACTCCTGGTTGCCTAGGAAGGTCACAGCTTCGGTTTGAGCTCTCTAAAAACCAAAAAAACTTGAGAAAATTAAAAGAAAAATAGTATTAACTATCTTACAATATATGGACAGTCTCTCTGGTCGATCAGTACTTGGTAAAACGTGTGTGTACGTCCCCTAACTTCTTTACCAACACCCGAGTTGGGTTCTTCATCTCCTTCTCGATGTTGTGGTAAGTCTCTGTGGGCAGACTTTATAGTTCTGGTTATAAATGACTATAATAAAATTACCTGTCATATACTCTGGCTAGCCAAGGGAATAACACTACACCTCTATAGCCAAAGACTCGATGTAGTATTAACTGACCGGTATCGTATTTTCCTGCAACTTTTGGGGTTTCAAGACGTCCAACCTCTGCAAGTCTATATATTCAGTCAAAAAACAGTTAGTTACTCGCAAATTAAACTAGAATTTTACCTGGCAAAATTCCGTTTGCACGCAAAGAGTCTTAAAGAAATCGGTACCATTTTCTGGTGTAAAGATATCCAGATTAAATCCATTGCTCATTTTTCTCACTCAGTAAAATGGTTTAAAGCATTCTAAGTTTATGTATTAAGTAGTGTTGAAATTTATCTGTAATATACTTTGAATTTGTTTGTTTTTTTTTTAATGTAAAGTGATGAAAAATTAGTATTTTGTTGACTTTAGAAAATGATGTAAATATTTTTGACAGAATTTTTTAATTTGACATAAATTCTAGGTCATATATTTTCTGAGGCCCGATCATAACCATCATATTCGGTAGGGATGGGCGAATATCTGAGATACCGGTACAAAAAACCTACTTTTATATATGACATCTGTGACGGTTATCAAAACTTGTTTCCTCGATTTCTCGATCAGCTGATTGTCAACAGAACCCGAACTTTTATCGAATTACTTTGTATTTTCTGCAAAATCAGCGAAAATATGACTAAAATTAGAAAATAAAATGAGAAAAAAGTATTATAAACAACTAGAGTCGTTAATAACAACAGAAATTTGTCTGTTACTCTTAGTATTTGTAAGTAAAAATACTTTTTAATGGGCATATATTAATTATTTTTTCTTCAGAGTTGATAAAAACTATGTCCGAACCAATTGAACTTCAACAGTTAGTAGACGATGAAACTGAGGACGAAATAAAGATACACCAATCAAAATTAAAGTGTCGCAAGTACCCGTATTTAGGCTTGATTTTAGCCACTCTAAGCGCAGTCTTTTTTTCTCTGTGTTCAGCAATCGTTAAATGGATGTCAGACGTAGACCCTATGGCTCTAGCTGCCTACAGATTCCTAGGAGTACTATTACCGACCATTCCAATCGCTATATACAATCAAAAACCTTGTTTTCCCAAAGACAAAAGGATCATGCTCATTCTACGCTCATTCACCGGTACTACAGCGCTAATGTTGAGCTTCTACGCCTTCAGACACATGCCTCTAAGTGACGCTACGGTTATAGTTTTCTCCGTACCAGTATTTACGGCAGTTTTCGCCAGAATGTTCTTAAAAGAACCTTGCGGATGGTTCAATATATTTTCTGTGATCGTAACCTTAATAGGAGTCGTCTTGATAACTAGGCCCCCTATAATTTTCGGGAATACCATAGAGTCTCTGGGGGACAACGGACAGTCCCCTGAAATATGGGGGGCCGTGGCTGCCTTCAGTTCCACCCTTTTTGGAGCCAATGCCTTTGTTATTTTGAGAGCGCTGAAAGATGTTCATTTTTCAGTTATTATGACCAATTTTGGTGCGTTTGCGTTTGTTCAGTGTCTGATAGTTTCCTACTTTATCGGGGCGTTTTGTTTGCCAGTGTGTGGCGCTGACAGGTACCTTATTGTAGCTCTAGCTCTGTTCAGTTTTTTAGGTCAAATTTTACTGACGGTTGCTTTACAGTTAGAACAAGCTGGTCCAGTTGCTATAGCGCGTAGTACTGATATAGTGTATGCTTTTATCTGGCAAGTGTTGTTTTTTGAGGAAATACCAAACAGGTTTTCTATTATGGGGGCGATTTTAGTTATGAGTTCTGTTATATTAACTGGATTGAGGAAATGGGTGATTGCTTTGCCTAGGGATGCTCCAATGCGACAGAAGTTTTATCTTTTAACTAAATAATGCTGAATTTTTTGAGACACTGAGTTAAGATTTCCTAGTAGGTTTTTGGTCGATAATTTTTTTTATGTACTTACCCATACCTACCATTTATCTCTGCATTCTTTTTGTGATAAGGATTTTTAGAAAATTGTTAAAATTGTCAAGAGATTCAGGGATAATGAATGCTTAAATAGGTTTTTATATTCCTAAAATTTATAGTCATTTTTTGGTGCCATAATAATTACAATTAATTCATATTTGTGATGTTTAAATTTGTATAATCTAGTATTTTATAGTTAATATTATTAGCCATGAAAAAAAAAACATATAAGTATAACATTTTTATACCAATGAAATATATTAGTCTGCCTATATTAAGCATTATTTAATAAAAAAAAAAATGTTCTCTCTATCTATGTAACTTGAGTCTAGTCATTTTGTTGTCTAATATATAATATAGTAATTTGTAATAATTAGGTATGTCATGATATTACTCCAGTGCTATAATAATAAGTTACGATCAAATAATTTTGTTTTGTATTATATAAAACAATCACTAAACCAAAGATCTGTTTTACTACAAAATTGTAATAAAATATAACGTAAAACAATTAGATGTTGTTTTAATCTTGCAGAATATAATATAAATAGGGGTATAATAATTATATAATTTTTTTTATTTCCAAAAAATTTATACTTGAACCTTCACACCATTTTGTCATGAAACTCTACATGAACGTCATCTTTTGCTAGTAAAATATATTTTACTTTTTAACTGGCTCCTTCGCCATTTCGTCAAGTAACAATATCGATTATTCAGTATTTTCTAACAATGATTCACCTTTTTGATAGGTTTATTTCTTTAAAAAAGCCTGTTTTTTTCTCAAGTGATAGAGAGCTACAAAAAACTTTTTATATTAAGTAAAACAAGATTTTTATTTTGTAGGTACATATCTCTTTTAGTTGTGAAGAACGCAGACTTTTTTCGAGAGATGGCGTATAGTGTGCTGGAAACTGAAAAACCTTCTGGTTTGTTTTGGAAAAAATATATTAATAATAATTATTATTATTTTATCTTGTTAAAAATTGCTAAGAGAATACCTGGCAGTGAGAGTTGTTGTCTGTCATTTTAATTCACAGACAAATTGATTTTTCTGTCATTGTGTTTGGATGATATAGGGAAAATTAAAGACAGTTGAAAAAGTGTGAAGTATATTTTTTGTCTTTGTGAGCAGTACTAAAATTTGTACTGCATACGTTACAAATGTCATCAATATTGGATTATTATTTTTTTGTAGATAAAAAAAACTTTATGCATTTCATTACTTACTACACGCTTTGGTTTTGGCATTATTGAATACTTAAATTTATCGGTAAAATAAAATATTGCACGTCATATACTGGTACTTCCAAACCAATTTACCCGTTGCATATACAATTAGCTTGATCTAAAATCCGTCCAGTGAGTCAGGGAAGATTTCGACAGATGACATTGAAAAAAATGACAGAAAATACAATGTGCTTCTGAGTTAACATGACAGAACACTGTCACTGTGCTGGATCGCCCGACAGACTTATATAATTCATGTAACAAAATAAAGACAAAATAATTCATAATTCACATCCACGAGTGCACAGAAAACGAAAAGATTGAACAGATAGATATACAGGGTGTTTCTTAATGACATGCTAATATTTAAGGAAGTGGTTCTTGGGCCTATTATAAGAAAAAAAAAGCTTCATATGAATATATGTATGTCCTAAACAGCTAATCAACTTTTCAGATACAGGGTGGTAAAATTTTCTAATTTTTTTTTCAAAATATGTCCGATGTTTTATTTGATACATATCTTCCAAGCATCAAAATGCTTATTTTGATATTATACAACAAAATTATTTAATTTCTTAGTTTTCTTCCAGCCGATGCAGAAATGATTTCCACACCGCATCAGATTTTCAGCGACTTGACCCTGAAGTAAACGGACTTTAATTTTCTTTAAGCAAAAACTATGCGTCGCACAAAAAAAATCAGGAGATAAAAAATAAATGGGGATTTTGAAAATAATTTTTCTTTTATGAGAAGTCAGTGGTGTACCACTTTTTTCTCCAAAAATATACAATGTAAAACCCGTATGGACGGCATTTGTTGAATAATATAAACATTTTTGTACACCAAAAAATGTATCTTGATGCATAGAAGTCGTCTATCAAGTTTCATAAAGATATCTATAATAAATTCAGAGTTATTATAAAAATTTTTTTTTTAGAAAATTTTACCACCTCTCAGAAATTAAGATGTTTATGGTATACATTCATATGAATTTTTCCCTTAGAATAGATTCAAGAATTACCACTTTAAATATTAGCATGTCATTAAGGAACACTCTATATGCAATGGGTACTTTCAAACAGTGTGTTTTTGATAGATATGTAACATCGTAA